AACCTGATGAACTCTTTTATACCTAAGGCCTCGAATTTCGTTCTTCTCGTCGGTAATCTGTGCGGTGCTCTGGTGCAACCAGTACAGTGCTGTATACGTGTAAGGGCTGACCCGTGTAACGGTTGGTGGGTCTGCAGAGACTTGCGGAGATTTCAGGCATGAGAACACCAGCGTTTGGCTTGTGTGACAGCAGCAAAGGTACTGCCCAGGACTTTAACCATAAGGACGCTGTCGGCAGGTAAAATCTTCTGAAATGAGTTGGTGCTTCCCACCTGTCTTTGGTAACAGGTGCTTTTTGCTCCTTTTTGCAGTATAACGCTGATATGTGCATGGACAGAGGGGTGGTCTCTGTGACCATTTTGGTTGTCTGTAACACTGACATTAAACCAGTTCAGTTAAACTGGACTTCAGACTAATGAAATTAGGAAAACTTGCACTTGTAGACAAAGCTGCAGTATCTAAGGTGAAATTTATGAAAGGGAAACCTTAGATATTTAGGTACCTAAATACATCAAGATCAGTACATGTACTGATGTGCCTGTACGAGTGAGGCACCCAGCGCTAATAAAAACTAGTAAGCTCTAATAAAAACCAAGAGGAACTGGGTATTTCGCTTGCTATAGATATTTTGGATTACATACTCTCTGCATCCTCAGGTATCTTTGGATAATCTTGATTTTGAGGTGCTATAACTCTGTGCACTCTCCTAGTAGTTCTAGTCTGACTTGTAAAGGAAGTGCTGGAAAGCAGAGAGGAGCGTGACTTTGTGAATTCGCCATCCTGTTTCTTTCCACAACAAAGAGCTTCCCTGTCTCATGTCCTGTGGCTTTCTTTGACCGCATACCGTACAGATTTACAGATCTATGCAGTGACTCCCATCCCAGACAATATAGATGTGCTGCAAATGGACCGCGTGCCCGATCGCATAAAAAGCTTTTACCGAGTCAACAATATCCGGAAGTTCCGCTACGACAGGCCTTTCCACAAAGGCCCAAAGGACAAGGACAACGAATTTAAGGTAGAAGTAGCAAATAAGCAGCGTTTAAGTGTTAATCTCTTCAAGGCAAATACTGCCATATTATTTCATGCTGATAGAGCCTTTCAAGTATACCATAGTAACTCAGACAAGTAACTGTTGATCTGGTGGTTACACACCTCTGTTACCTTGGTTCCCATGACAGAATTGGTGGTGAACCTTTAAAAATTAATGGCAATGTTGAATGTGTTGCTTTAGAGCGTACTGAATCCTGGCTTTGTTCTTCAAGTGACTCTCAGCCTGAGACGTGCAAAGAAAGTTAATGCTCAGGAGGTTAATATATTCCTTCTGAACTTTACCCCCTTGGCACCTGGAGTAAGAGTGCGGATGATGTGATGGTGATTCACTGAGTACCTCACATCCTCAATTACTCTTTGCAGAGCTTGTGGATTGAACGTACCACTCTGACCTTGACTCACAGTCTGCCTGGGATCTCTCGTTGGTTTGAAGTGGAGCGAAGAGAACTGGTAACATTCATAGTTCCTCTGACTGGGGTTTGAAATTATGAGTTACTGAGCACAAGGGGCAGGCAACTTAAAGTTCAGTTTGCTGAAATCTTGCAGGCTTAAAATGATGAAGTTTACCAGTGATTAAGTATGTCCTTTTTCTACCACTTCGTCTAAATAATTGCTGAGTGTAACCAGGGGAATTATGTGAGGGAACATGATAGTATAATGGAGAGAGTGCCAAAAAGATGGAATAATGGCCCTGTTGCCATGTCTTCAGTATACAGAAAAGAAGTTACGGCAAGTCAGTGAGCTGAAATACAGCATTGCCAACAGGGAAGTTTGTTAATGTAGCAAATTTTCTACAAAGCAGTAAAAACTAAGATTATTGAGCAATCCTAGAGTATCATTGCATTACAAGGAAGATAATAAAGCTCAGTGAAGTGTCCCTAGCATTAAAGTATTATTTTATTGCCTTTGAGGTTGAAGTAAGTCCTTTGGAAAATGCCATTCAAGTGGTTGAGAACAAAAACCAGGAGCTGAGAACGCTGATAAGCCAGTACCAACATAAACAAATGCATGGCAACATTAATCTTCTCAGCATGTGTCTGAATGGAGTGATTGATGCAGCTGTTAATGGGGGAATTGCACGATACCAGGAGGTAAGCCACGCTCTGCTGCTGAATTTGTACCAGAGTTTTTCAACGTTATTTCCATTTCTGTTTCAAAGAAAGTCTGACTAAATAAGATAAGAATCTTCCATGTACATTATCTGAATATGAGGTTAACCCCCCTGCCCCCCACTTGGTTATTCTGGATCGGTGCTGGGGTAGCCACACGTCAACAGGGGGACGGAAAGGTGGAGTTGGGATATCACAGTGAAGTAGGTACAGTTGACTGGGGTTTCTCAAGAAAGGAAACTTGGCTTGCTTGGAAATCCTCACTTGGCAAGCGAACGAGTGAAGCAGAGGGTTTTTTAGACACTGCTTACACTACAAATCCATTTTGCAGTAGCGGCAGTGGGACGCCTGGTGATCGAGACTGACTGGGCCTGTCATCAGAGAAAGCTGCTGATTTGTGCCACTCAGCCATCATCTCTCTAGCCGAATTTGAGACTCGCTGTAACCCTAAAATGATCGTATAGGCAGTACGCTATGTGGCATAATCTTGGGCAAGCTGATACTTAAATTCTGCATTGCAAAAGGTTTAGGGTGAAATACTGGAAAAAGGTAGCAGCGGTCCAGGGGTGTGGGACATTCTTCCCTACAGAGCTGTGAAAGGAGCGCTCGTCATGCTTTACATTAGTTATCACTTTAATCACTCAGTTCCTTTAACTTTAGGCAGTTATGTTAAGGAAACAATATAAAATTCCAATAACTGGATGATATGGGGCTTAGTGGAACTGCTCATCACTATCACGTGGGGAAACTTGGTCAGGTTAATGATTTGATGGAATCATCAAGGTTGCCAAAACTGTGCTGCAGCTTCACCTGGATCCCAGAGTGCTAAAAGGAGTAAAACTGAGCTTAATATATTTAGTTTTCCTAAGAATTTTTTTGGACCTTTTCCTCTCATCCTTTGACACCAAGTAACGATGAAATATCTTCCACTAAAGAGAAGGCTTGCTTTATTTTTTTTTAATTTTTTTTTCTACAGGCCTTTTTTGATAAAGATTATATCACAAAGCACCCTGGAGACGCAGAGAAGATCACGCAGCTCAAGGAACTCATGCAGGAACAGGTACTGGTTTTCAGATGCGAAAGAACATTGCTTTGGTGTCTGGATTCATCAGCAGTCAGCATAAACATACCAGGTCCAACAGATTCATTCAGAAGCAACGAATTTTGGTTGAGGGGGACCTGGCCAAGGAGTTTACGAACAAGCCATTCACCTTATGGGACGTGAGGTGAAGCTCAGCTAAAAGCACATTAATTTTGTTGTCTCTATATTAGCCAATAGACAGCTTGCCATGTTTCAAGCCTGCTGTTCATTTTTGGCATTCTGAATTACATTTTCCCAGTAAATTTCCAAGATAATCAGTCAGGAGAGGCCAGGTCAGGCTTGAGGTTAAACTGGCAGAGCTACATAGGAAAACCTAATGCTATTTATATTATCTGCAGTTTTATTCTTCCTTAGTGTCTCCATGAACCACCTTGGTAGATAAAGCTAGCTGGATGCTTTGATGGAGTGAAATGAGAAGATCGTATCCCTCTTAACTGGAAGTTTGGCAAGATATACCCCATTACACCATGTGTCCAAGCCTGAACAGAGCTGCTAGGCCTCTTTCTTCAACAAATCACTTAACTGCATTACAGATTTCCCATCTGTAAAATAAAGATAATGCTTATCTCCCTTCAATCCTCAAGAGGATGTTTGAAGATTAATTAGTTGTTGTTTGTACAGACTTTGGATCATGTAGGGAATTATATACGTCTTAAGCCTGCTATCAGTACTATTTTCTTTGATCTGAGAGCTTATATAATCTCATTCAGTCACTAATATTGTACGTTTGACCTCTGAAAAAGTGACCTTTAAAAATAAATACTGAGCAAAAGGGGGAGTGCCTATGGATGCCACACTGCCACTGTCCAGCTCAGTTACCAGAAACCCCTGCTAGAAATCTCTGTTGGCAGCTCTGACCCCTGACCTGACAGGGGGTGGAAGGAATTTTCTTTGTCACAATAAATTATCTGTGTGAGGACGTAATGCAGCTCACTCTGGAGAGAGCATCAATCTGCTATTTTTTTGCCGTTATCTCAACAGAAGTAATCCAACATGACAAAACTCTTTGTCTCACACTTAAAGTACTTTCACCACCCTTCACAGAGAGGGTGGTGAGGCACTGGAACCGGTTGCCCAGAGAAGCTGTGGATGCCCCATCCCTGGATGTCTTCAAGGCCAGGCTGGATGTGGCTTTGAGCAACCTGGTCTAGTGGAAGGTGTCCCTGCCCATGGCAGGGGGGTTGGAACTAGATGATCTTTAAGGTCCTTTCCAACCCAAACCGTTCTGTGATTCTATGATTCTACTTGGTGAAGTAATATGAGCTTGCCAGGTCTCTCCTAGGCTTGCTTAATTAGCAGCAGTCTTGTAAACGAACAGTGGCACGTTGCACAGTACTTCCTTGCACGTTGACAGAACGGCAGGACAGGCCTCTGTTCTCTCTCTTAGACACGATTTATTTAAGTTTGTGATGGATGTTTTAACAGGTACACGTCCTGGGAGTCGGTCTGGCAGTCCATGAGAAGTTTGTACACCCAGAAATGCGTCCCCTGCATAAGAAACTGATAGACCAGTTCCAGATGATGCGCTCCAGTCTGTACCATGTAAGCTGACAGCCGTTTTCCCCATTTTGGATTGTTCAGAGTTATGCTTAAACTTCCATCAGTTGCAGTAAGGTTCAAAAAAGAGCGGGGCTGATACAGCATTGATTGAACCTCCTGGATTGCCAAATTACCAAGATTTCTTGGGTTTTGTGCAAGAAGGAAGGCCTAGTACGTCTGTTAACTTAGCCTTTAATGTCAGCTAGCACTTTTAATGTTTGTGTGTTTTCTTACTGTATCACAAAACAATTGTAAAGCTTAATTTTCAGTTCCTGTCTTCCACAGCAGATGATGATGTGAAACAGGAAGAAAGACTCTGACATAAAGCATTAGAAGTTGAGTTCTTTGAAAGAACTGCTGTAGCTTGGAGTAGCATGACATGGATTAGACCCTCCAGAAGTGGTTTTGTATAGGCAGCGTCAGAAATTGCTGTTGGTTACTTTAGGCATCCAGCTCTGATGATCAGGACACGCACTATTATGGGTCTGTAGTTCCTGTGTTGCCGACAGAACTGGCTCCAGAGTGTGGTTCTTACCACCTGTTGCAAACCAGAAATGCAAATCTCATCCTCCAGAAATGATGCCTTTCCTCCTGTGTGAGCCCCGCTGTACGTTGGTATTCTCTGCCAGCTGTACTTGAGGCATCTTTGCCAGGCGGGTCTCAGAAATCATAGAAACATAGAATCATAGAATGGGCTGGGTTGGAAGTGACCTTAAAGATCATCTAGTTCCAACCCCCCTGCCATGGGCAGGGACACCTTCCACTAGAAGGTGTGGAATTCTTCTGTGGAAATCTGCGGTGCATTCCCCTCTTCCTGCCGTAGTGAAACCTTTTTGGACACCTAGACGCTATCTTGAACGCTCTCACAACCAAACTGAAGGATACCTTCTAGAATGTAAAAGTATTATTTGAGGTATGCGTGTTGGCGCTTCCCAGCTGGAGTATGTGTGTTCTAAGGTAGCTCCTAGTGTGAAAGCTTTTTCCTACATTCTTAGGAGTGAACACCATGCAAGGATGGCCAGCAACAACGGCACCGTAATTTTTAAATAGGGCCTTTCTCTTCCAACGCAGATGAGATCCATACAGGTCACAATTTCCAGTTTGAGTTCAGTACCTTTCCTGGGAGTTTGGACAAGATCTCTATTTCTGAGTCCACATTTATTTTTTTAAAAATGTAGGGGGCTGTAATTTGGGCCACACTATGCCTGTATTTTCCTCCCAGGTTCCTGACAGAGTGGCTAGAAAGTGTCATTGGAAATAAACAGAGAATAGGGTTATAAAGCACTGAAGCTTTATATCCTTTTTTATCCTGTGGAAACAGAGAACTACTGAGGATAAATCTAGAGAACACGGAAACAGATCAGGATTCTCCTGAGAAGAAAACTTGTACTTCCCATGACCAACCTAGCTAACATGTGTTTCCTTCGCAGGAGTTACCCGGTTTGGATAAGCTGAGCCCGGCCTGCTCTGGCGCTAGTACACCGCGCAGCAATGTTGTGGTTTCGCATGGACCTATGAGCCCAGAAAGCATAAAGATGGTCCATCGACACAGGTACCCTGGTTTCTGCTGCTGAAATGTCTAGGATCTCTGCACCCTGTTGCATTAAGCGTCAAGGCCCTAAGAAGTGGTTAACAGTGCTGCAGGAGCAGGCTGAGTTTTGGCCTAAGTGTCTCGTCTTCATTCAGTGCTAAATGTTAAAGTTTGATTGAGGAGTGGAATCAAAAAGTTGAGAAATCCAATTTACAGCAAATGCTAAATACCTCCAGGTGTTTCTCTGTCACTGTACTTACTGCAGAGGCCACTCTGCAGCGTCAGTCTGCCTTTGGACGTTCCAACTTCTCCTACTTCTGTTATGCAAACAGCAAATAAATGGGTCCCTTGCTACCATAAAAGGAAAACTGTAATGCTTGCTTTAGAACCCAACTCAGTATGGACCCATTTTTATGGATCAAAAAATATTGGCATCATTGTTTTTTATAATTCTGATCAAATCAGAACCCAAATATAAGATAAGCTGCCAAGGTGTGGTGATAAGAATACCAAAAAATGGCTCAGCCTTCACAGAAACATCTGAAAATGGGGATGCTTATTTAAACTGAACACTCATCTATAAAAACTGAGAAAATGACTGAGGATAAAAATTGGCATTTTCAGGGCAAAACAGTGTTTTTGTATCCAGCTGAAATTGCCTCTTTGAAAATGTACGTATCCATGCCAGCACGAAAAACAGCGACAGGAATGTCCCCGAAGTTACGAAATCGTAATTGTTTGTCTGTGTTTATTTGTCGTGGTGGGTCCACACAGATTAGCTGTTTCTAAAGCCTGGCATGAAAAGCTGCGGAAACTTGGTCTTTAGTATGTGAAACTAGGATGATGGCATTGTTTTTACTACTTGAGTAGCTTTTACACTACTTCAGTGGCTTGGCAGTTGGCGTCTGGGTGAGACAATTTTTTTCCTCAAAATTCCTCACTTCGTAATGCCTTTTTTAGTTCTTAGGGCAAACCAGGGAGATTCTGTAGTGTCAAAAATATATATTAGTGTACGTGATTCAGAGTTCAAATTAAAAATTAAATTACTGAGTGAGATCAGGGTGCAGCCTGCACACCAGCTGGGCTGCATTCATTTACTCTCAGCTACAGAGTTGCCTTCGTCTGCACTGCTGAGGTCCCAGAGATGCAGTATGGAAAACTGCATTTTGACCTCTGGGTCTCGTGCTTGGCTTCCTTTGGAATGTTTTTTTAAGCAGCTCCCACTCATCGTACTTCAGCATTAAAAACAAGAGCAGTTTCACAAAGTTCTGTTACAAACAAAACTAGTATGCACTCAGCGTCACGGCACGGTGTTAACCTGCCTTTGGCTTCTGAAATTCATCCTACATCCTGTGTTGTCACTTACTGTCACTTCTTCACCCTAATGATGCCCTTGTTCCGTCTCTTTTTATTCCAGCCCACTGAACTTGCTTGGTTCAGTCCGACACTCCTCCTCCTCTCTGTCGTCCCACACCTCCAGCGAAACTGGAAACCTGGTGATCCTGACGGACAGTTCTGTGGGGGAGACTGCAGAGGACATGTACCACATGCAGGTACAGCTCCAGCACGGCCCAGAGCGGTGGTCGGAAACAGCGCTGAACGTGCTCTGGGGGGTTATGCTCGGGAGGAGCTCACCTCTACACACGCTTCGTCTTCCCGCGGTGTTTTTCTCAAAGAACTGTATAGATAGAATCTAACCCTGCTCAAGAAAGGTGACAGAGTAATTAGCCAGGTTTACTGTGGGAAGAAATCTTCTCTTTTGTACAGTGAAAAGTTGCTACTGTGCTCCAAGATCATACTGTTGCTTTCCAAAAGTCAGATTTTAGTTGACAAGTTCTTTATCCGGCCTGTTCCACATACGCAGTCAGTGTCGCTCCTGGTTTGTGGGAGGGTGACGGGAGTCCCACAGTCCCGAGCACAGACCGGCAGTGGCCTGCACTGAAGCTGTTTCCTAGACAGCGGCTGCTGGGTGATCTGAGACAGAGAAGTATCTCACGCACTGATCCGCTCAGTTCTCTTGATGATTTCTCTGCCTCCTGCAGCTTGTTTACCCCAACTCCAGGTACCAAGGCTCAGTCACCGACGTCTCTGTTTTATCCTCGTCCCAGGCTAGCCCTTCCACCTCAAGCCTGAGCTCTACTCACTCGGCACCATCCCAGATGATTAACTCTGCCCCTTCCAGTGCTCGAGGTAAGAACGGAGGGACCCAAATGAAGGGTTAAGTGCAGGCGGCCCCTAAACCTAGCAGTATTAATGACTTACTGGTAAAAGACCACCCACACTGAAACACACCCCTCTCTTGGAGCTCTAAAGGATTCTTCAAAAATTATTTCTTAAAAAGATGTTTTTCTTTCTCCAGAAATGCATTTAATCATCTTTTTTTTCCCTGCAGTATTTGGAGTGTATCTTTAATACATGCTGGTTTCAGGCAGTTGAATTTCATAACGATTTCCATTGTTCTGTCACAGAATTGTGGCAGGCAGTCTAAAGGAGAACAAGAACAGTTGTCGGTACAGTACTTAAAAGACAGAGATCATGAAGACAAAGGCAAAAAAACCCATTTTACACATTTAATGAAATTATGGCACAAAAAAAGACGTAGCAGAAATGTGTGTACACAAAAGCGTTTGCATACAATGAATGCTGACTGATAGGAATGTTAAGGACTGGAGTTAAAGGCGGCCTTCCCTGATGGGAAATGCTCCAAGAAAGGAAAAATGTAAAAAGAGACTCCAGGGGTACTCATGTTGCCTTTGCTGTTACAGTAGCTGGTCTTGATGTTGCTAATCATTTTCTTCCCAAACCTCAGAGCTGCAGCAAAACCACTCCATGCAATCTCCTGACTTTGGTAACTTCAAGTTTTTCCTCCTCTCGTTTTGGATTCTCAGTTGCAGGTTCACAGATTTCTGTAAGTCTTTTCACAGGCATCTGAAGGAAGTATCCAGGATTACAGTCAGAGATAGAGGCTGATAATTAAACCTTACCCCCTTTTCCCATACAGGGGACATACCCTTATGGACAGAGAATGCAGCTTGGGGCTTTTTTGCTCAATCTTGCAGTAAAATCTTAATTGACAGGGTGTGGTGAGGACACAGATGCATCGAAGTGATTTAACTGAAAGATCAGATGGCGTAGGAAGGTGAAAAGTGAACAGCTTCAGATAAAGGCACATAGTTTTGCTAATTACCAAAGGCTGGGAGGAAAATAACAATTGAAATAGCAAAGTAACCAGGTAAAACTGGTGCAATGGGAAAGGGGAGATAGAACGGAGTACAGGGCTATGATGTCAGGAAGGCCTCCTTAAATGGGTGTGCCTCAGCTGGCATGCGAGGCTGAATCTTTTGGGGGATCTGAGGGGGTTTGGTGCCCATGGTGTTTCACAGTGTGCCCAGTGACAGGCTGTGCCAGTCTTTCTGAGCTCGATGACTTCACAGCATCACCAGCTTCCCTCTTCACTGTATTCTTTGCTGTTGCTTAGAAACCAACGTGATGAATGCTACCAAGGGTATGGTGCCGGCAGATGAGCCACCAGCACCTCCCAGCGATGAGAACCCAACAGCGTTAATGACCACAAATGAGGGAACCAGGAGTAATGAGTTTGCAAAATATTTCGTCTATCTATCCGTTTTATTCTTCACTCGCACGAATGTGTTTTGATAGCCTGTGGTGCATTTCTCCTCTGCTAGTTCACGTTTGAGTTAGGTGAGCACAGCATTCAGACATCACCCACTGATGCTGGGATTTCACATCCAGTAAAGTCCCAGGTGCTCTCTGTGTTTCACAGTGTGCAAGTCACTATCCTGGTTATTATGACACCGCTGCCTGGAATGGAGTTGTTCATAACGAGATAAAGCACTTACACTTAAGTTCCACTGTGGTAATACAGCTTTGTTTTTCTCCTTGGTGATTTTTCCTTTTGCTTTGTTTTTCAACTGGGTGAATTTGATGCTTGTGAAAATGAGAGACCAGTATCACTGGCTGGAGCAAGGTACTTCACAAACATTACATGTGCAGCTCTGCCAATGCACCTCTATCCTTTTTTCTTTTTTTTTGGTATTTATTTATATTCTTTTTAATTTAGTGCTGGTGAAAGGTGCTGGATTGACAACACTGGAGGCTGAAGCCCTCTATTTATCCACAGAACAGATACAGCATGGGCGGCAGCCGTGCAAGCTTCCCCACGCTGCCCCCACCAATGTGCCTCATCTCTGTCCTGGAGGGACCACCTCTAGAGGTGAGAGGATAGTTCAGTCACCATGACCCATCCAATCCCTGGCCTTTCTGCTGAGACTGCTACGATAGTCACGATGCTACAGTAACTGCTTTCAGACAGGAAGTATATACGAAGGCCAACGATTCATTTCGAACAGGCCACCTAAATTTATCAACTTGGCATCTTTGTTGCCTGTGGCTTTAACCTGAGCACGGTTATCTACCATTTCTAGGTTTGTGTCAGACGTTTAAAGGCTTCTCTCATTGAATCAAATGTTAATGTAGAGGTGAAAAACCACTATCCTGTTATCCAGATACTTATACCACCTTCTCTGTGTAACTGCAGAGTCCTTGCTGGAGCTCAGCTACCAGCACTGTGCTGAGGAGATGGGTATCTTCATAATATCGATTAGTTCCATTAGTGACCAAAAGCACCCATGCCCATTTGTAGCAAGGATCCGACAGGAATTTCAATCCTATTGCTAATTCTCCACTTCCAAAAAATTACCCTTTTATTAATGTTTGAAACAGTGACACAAGCAAATTATTTGGTTTGTCCAAAGAAAGTAATAAAGCCATTCATCCAACATTTTGCTTAAAAGATAGCCATCAAGACAGTAGATAAATGATTCGATCATATCACTGGATAGCAGCAAACCTCACACTAGTTACAATATACGCAAGTCAGAGCAAAAGTCTTAAACAGACTTGTAATCAGAATACAGGAAGAATTTTCTGATTCTCTTGTTAGTGGCAGACATTACTGGTTAGTCTGTGTTTCAGATCAGCAAACGCATCAGTTTTCACCTGGCTTCACCCTTGTGTAGCTTCTCCCCTGTCAGGAAAGAAACACTGTTCTTGTATGGAGGATCGATAAGAAATTCAGAGTTTGTTTTGGCTTCATCTGAGGTGACTCATGAGGCGCTGCTCTAACCTTAATGGAGTTAAAAGATTATGTAAGCCAGTGTTCATTAAGCAGAAATTGTAATGCAAAAAAGGCCTGGAAAGAGCTGGGAGTGGGTTAGGCTTTTTCAGTAATTTCATTTAAAATATGATTGGAACCCCTCCGATGCACTCTAAAAGCGATTCCCACTTGACACTCGATGACTCACCTCCGAAGGCATCCCTACACATCCCTCAACACAGCCCCCTGTAAAAGGTGTAGAAAATAAGTCCCAGTGTCTTATTTAGCACTTGGCAAGAACCCGTGTACTTGCATTAAAAACTTCCTACTTAAGGCAAAAAGTTACGGTTTGATGCAGGAGCGAAGTGTTTGCATGACAGTAATGTAAACGACAAATCAGGAGAAAAGATTCATTGAGTTTGGGATTTAACTACATTAATTTTCAGTTTTCATTCCTTAAAACTAATACTTGTCACAAGTGGATTAACACTTTCACCATTTAAAAAGAACAACTACCTCTGGCTTCAGCCTAGGTTGTTTTCTCCCATTAACAGTGCATACAGTGCTGCACACATCGAGTGTACCGAGCTGCAAGCCAAAAGGAATAGGCCCCAGTACCTGCTGCAGCGTTTTATACGTCCACTGGCTGCTCTGGAAGCTTTTTTTTAAACCTTGTTTTTTTAAGTTTTGCCAGTCCCTGAAAGGAGCCTCGGTGACTGTGCTCTCTATCTGTCCAAAGCAGCAGGCCTGATTACTAAAACAGCAGTTGCAGCCACTGCTCTTGTGGCCCACATTTCAGAGGTAGCAGTACCTAATCTGTCTGCAGCTGGGATACTTGGCTTAATCTGTTACACTCTTCACAGCTCTAGTTATTTACAAATTTAGGGTACCAAACCAAACGAGACTTTGCCACCATACACGTGGGATTTTTCAGGTCATGCAGCGCAAAGTCTGTGGCAACTCTAATCCCATATGAACTGACGGCACATACAGGTGGTTTCCATCTTGGATATAAAAGGATGACAAATAAAAGGGCAAAGTGTGCAGAGTAGGTTGTGCTGCGATATGGTTCTGGGCACACCTACAAGTTCAGCATCCTTACATCTGTCATGCAGAAACAGGACTATCTGTGATGTGTGAGTAAAGAGACTCAGCATAAAGCGTTAACACCGTGTTCTCCAAGCTGATGCTGTATATAAGAGCAAACAATGTTGTCTACTTACGTTTCTGTTTTATGTCTGGGGAGAAAATGAGTTCGGAACTAGAATGCAGATACTCAGCGGCTGTTGGTGTTGGGGTGGGGGTGTAGATTAATCTGGAATCTGCCACCCCTGATGGAACTGTTGCAATTGTAGGACCTTATCCTGCATTCTGCTGGACACATTGTTCCTTCCACTGTGTGCTGAATATCGGTCCCAAAAACTGCATGTTTGCTTTTGCTGGGGTAAAAGCTGCATTAACCAGCCCCAATGCCTTTGCTCATACGTTGGAGTGCTGTCCAGGTAATGTGTGTGGTTGTGGAAAGTTTGCAAGAGGGGGCATGTATTCCCCACAAGCCGGCATGGCCCTGTAATGCGCTGTGTGCTGCCATCTGTTCAGTGCGTGTTTGTGACGCAGTGAGATAATCAGTGCAAATTAAAACTCACTCCAGCAGCTTCAGAACATCAATTCCTGACCAGTATTGTGCACCCCAAGGGATGCGTGTATCAGTCATATCAGGACTTTGGGAAGTCACTAATGGGAACCATTCTTCTGGCAAATCCATTGTCAGCTGCTGTGTATGAGAAGGCAGATTGCTGTGTGGCACTCACATTGAAGAATGCGAGTCCCAAATAATTCCACACCCCAGGAAGCTGTTTACATGAAATAGCCCAATAATTTAAATGCCACCCGTACAGATAACTATCAAAGCCAGGCATATTCCTACTATATACCTCTAAGCATTGGTAAATGTCCTGTTGTGGAGATGCCCAGCACAACATCCTGCTCAGTAGTAACCATACATTGCCCAGCAGCATTATAAGCAAAGTGCCACCTACATTTACAGCAAATTCTGTTTCTTACTGGTTTTTGTTTTGCTTTAACAAGAAGCAGCTAACCAAGGTATTGCCAACTAAATGGCAACACCTCAGTCTACCTCTGCCAGAACTGAGGAATGAAGGAGCTCCCTGTAGCTTCCTGCTTTAACTGAACGGTGTCTCTCAACCTTCTATCCCTTTTTTCCACATTCAGTCCTGAAATGCATGATTTTTTTGGCATTTCTATAACTGATACTGTATGGGGTGAGGGAGCATTAGGCACTGCACAGCCCAGCCACAGCTGATGCCACACACATACCCCCTTTCCGTTTGTTTGAAGAGGAAGCACTTTGCAGCAGCCAACTAGGGAGGGGTACATCTCCACCTTACCTGGTACGTCCTTACTTGTACGTAACAAGCCAGTTCTTACTTCATCCTCGTGCTATGCACCCCACCGACAGTTAGCTGCTTAGTGGGCTCGGCACCGTGTTTTCTGGAGTCTGTAAGATCATCCGTCTGAACCAATTGCAAAGGAGGACTAGATCGCTGGGCATGCGGAGACATGGCTGTTGTTTGTCACGTGTACGTGATTATTCTCACTTGTTTACAGGCTCTCCCTCTCTACCAGATAAGTACCGCCACTCTCGGGAGATGATGATGTTGCTGCCAGCCCATCGGGACCGACCTAGCAGTGCCATGTATCCCGCAGCTATCATGGAAAACGGACAGGTAGCAGATCTAATTTTGTTTATGTCACTTTAACCACCTGAAACTGTGACTTTATTTTTCCCAGTTTTGACTACTTTAAAGCTTTCCTTTCTGTTTTTGGAAGCACAACAACTTAAGGTCATTTTCAGAGGCAAGGCAGAACTTTTCCTATTAATCACACACACACCGCCGGCCCCAGAGCCACCCACTTTGGGAGTCAAGTGAAATAAACTGGAGTGACTGCTAGAACTGCGGATACGCGCTGTGAGAACGGGCTCTCCCTACCTCCCAGCTTCATCCTGTGAGCCCCGGTCCACTGCAAGGAGTCGCACTATTTCAGTTACTCATTTTTCTAGAACCATGGCCGTGCTGCAGTCCAGCCTCTTAAGTCAGTTCTAAATAGCTTATGGTGATTTCCAGAAGAATCAAAAACTGCAGTAGGATGAAATAAGACACTGATATGAGGTGTGCAGAGAACACAAGCAACGCCAATTGTGGGTCCTCAGCTCTGTTACGCTCTGGAGAACCACTGCTGTTGCACTGCAGGACTTGCTAGTGCAGGCACAGCCTAAGGTTCCCAGGAATTTCTTAGTTAAAAAACTTTCTTTGCTTAAAAAAAGGCAAACAGAAAGCCCTAGGGCTCTGCAGCAGCTGTTCTGTAACTTTCTTTTTCTTCACTTTTTTGAGCTAACTTTTCTTCTCCCGTAGCCTCCGAATTTCCAGCGCGCCTTGATCCAGCAAATGATCGGCCCATGCAAACCTTGCAGCGATCCCAACCTGTCCGTGGCTGAGAAAGGTACTCGTCTTCCGAGGCGGCAACGCATGCTTTCTACTCCTGCTACTCTGCTCATGCTACAGCACGTAACAAACGGGCTTCTGCGTTTCCTGGCAGAGTGCATTCTCTCACATATTTTAATTAACAGGCTAACTAACTGGGCCTTCTGCCAACCTACAGTCCTTTCAGATCGTTCACAGAAGGGTGGACTTGCACAAACCTCTCAATTTCCGAAAGCTTCCAAGTTTAGCATTTTGTTAGTGAAACAAATCCTCAGCCTTTGTCGCGCAAAGCTTCCAAAGCAGCAAATGGGAAGTTATCGGAAAGCAGAGCGCGAGATTGGGACCGTATGTTTAAATAATGAGATATAGTACTTTTTTGAATATGCATTTATTGTTCAGAGTATTACCTTTCCTTGTAATCCCTCTCGGAGGTAGTTTCCCATTTGTTTAAGTTTATCATTAGGAACGTATGCGTTTTTAACTCGCTGCTTTGGAAAAAACCAGGCAGAAGTCCCTGCAGAAAAGAAAACATGACAGGAGAGAAAGAGTTTGTTTGTTGTAAGAGAAAAGGAGGAGCTCGCGAAAGGGGTGCCATGGGCAAAGCGATGGGCTTAAAAGGTGATCTGAAAGGCAGCATTTTGAAAAAGCAGAAATGGGCAAAATTAATGAGTCAAAATGTGAGACAAGGAGCTGCCTAAGCAAGCAAGAGTCGTGTGTGGCTGGGACAAATGGCCTCTTCAAAGGTTTTTAAGGCCAGGAAAGACCATCAGAATGCTCTAGTCTGACTGACTTAACGCACTCCATGAGGCTCTTCCTAGTATTTTTGTTTCAGTCGCTGTGCCTGAGCTGAACTCTATCTTTCTGGGGGAAAAAATATCCAAATTTTATTTTAGAGTTTGTAATAGATCAGAATACACTCCTTCAGCAGTGTGACGCAGCGAGAGCGGCCCAGACTGAAACAGAAAGCCAGAGTACGGCTCTAAACAAATGGCAGAATGGTCACATGCTGACAGTAACGAGTAGTGACAGCAGAGAGTGAAGATAGGGCCCGAGGGGTTAAAAGCTCCAGCTTAGCCATGGTAGTTTGAACCGGACGTATCACAGAGGTGGCGAGATCTTTATAGGACAGGGGAGAAGATCTGCAAAAGGAAGATGGATATATATTTATACCCGTGTAGGAAAAATACTTGAATTTGTATTTGTGGGCAACATTATGCAAGAGTGTAGTGTGCAGGGTGAAGAGAAGGGATCAAAGACAGAATCCTTCCAGAGACCCAACTGAGCCACAGATGATGTTCAGTAACTGTTCCTGGGGGCTGGGGTGATGGGAATCCCGGCTCTTCAGCCTGGCTGGTACCGTAGCTGCAGGTACAGGTGTTTTTGCAGCCCTTGAACCTGCATCGTTCTTCATAAGTCGGGATGCTGTCTGCCCTGGTGTCCATTAGCAGTCACGGCCCGTGAATTCAGCCACCCCCTTCCTTGCCATGCCAGAAGCCCTGCTCAGTAATTCTCGGTGACATCAGGCACCCACAGCAGAGTGGTTCAAGTGCAGCTTCCCTGCTAATTAAACGTGGCCACCAAGCCACTGAACACTGTTCTGGAGAGAGAGATGGGCTAGGGCAGAGCTCTAAGAGCTCCCTGGGTAGGTTCCTCCCTGAAGTTGAAGGAACCCTCCACTGGGTTGAAGAGGTAGCAGCTACTCTCAAAAGTCGTCTGACCTCAGGATGATTTCCAGCACTCCTAAATGCCCCAAAGGCCGTGAATGAGGGAGGATGGAGAACGTAGAAATGGATTGTGCACTGGGGTACCATGCACCATCTGCACATTCTCCTGCTGCATCTCAGTGTTTTTAAAAACCACACAACAACTGTTTTGCAGGCCAGGCAAATGAGGTTTTGTTCTAGTCCCATTCACGTGGTGCTGGTTCGCTGCAAGAGACTAGCGTGGCTGGCACTGTGCGCGCCTTGTCCCTCTGCTCAGCCTTTTGACCCCAACTGCAGCAGCGCAAAGTGGAGCGCTCTGGGGTGTGTACAGTGTGAGCAGGGGGCTCAGGAACTTCACCTGAACTGCCTGCGCCGAGATGCATCTCTCCATTTGAACTTGTTCTCTGTCATGATTCTTTATATCTTCTTTGTATGCCTTCCTCAGTTTAGAGGGTGTCTCTTTAAAAACAACACTTACTTTCATGGGTTTTGCTCCATTTTATGAAGATGTCACTTTGTGATCTTTTTTACTTTAGGGAGTTTTAAGTCTTGAGCAGCCTGTGTTCATGCTAACTCATGAACTAAGGGAGAAGAAAACAAAACAAAAACACCCTTTCAAAGTCATTTGAGAAAAGAAACGCACCAAAACTGGCTGCAGGCATTTTAATTAAGAAGAAATCCTCTTCAGATGTCAAACTCCATGTTTATTTCTCTAGGCTTCCATTTTCCAAACTGAAGATTGAAAAATGCTATTTTTATCTCAGTTTTCTCTGGCAGGCTCACGGAATTACTTTGCCTTTTTTCTTTTCTTTGTGAATCTGAAGAAATTGCTTATTTGCTTTTCACTAAACATACACTTATTGCCTGCCTATCTTCTCCGAATGAATCAAGTCTCAGCAGTGTGTTTGGAAGAAAAGAAGGTGCTTTGCTAATAATGTTTAAGGTTGACAGAATTCTCAAGACCTTGAAAAACGTTCATGATGAAAGCTGCTTCTTTCTGTTTCTGTGAAAAAGCAAAGTCACAAAGATCATACTGTTTGTTCTTCCTGACCAACAAAGGCTTGATCTCTTCAGGTGACACAGGGAGTCCAAACTGCTGCCTTTAAATATTCTGTCATGAAAATGGTTTACAAACTCTGCAGCTTAGTAGACTGGGGCCTTCCAGTCATGATCTCTTTTGTAACGGACCGAGGTGTGATTTCACTCACGTCCCATCTTCGGCCTTCACTGAGGCACTGCGGTGCAACAACAGGCCTTCCTGTGTTTCACGGGTTCTGCCACATGTTCCCTTCTGTCATCACTTAGCACCAAGCAGAACGGCTCACTGCGGAGATCTAGCTGCCGTTCCGTCCGTGAGACTTCATCTTTACTTACTGCTTTGCAAAACAAAACCTAGCAGGGTCCTGACGCTCGTCACAGTTGCTAGAAATGAGCCCAGAGGGTTATGGAGGGGAGAGGGGCAGACTAACGCTACGACACTAACTCTCACTTCCTTAACAAAGCAACCTCTGAACTTAACACACTGTAGACTAGATGACATCTCTGTACGCCTGCAATCCTACCGTTCACCAAATCCCTGGAATCTGCCGCTTTCCTGCTAAAGAGCACACCAGAAAGCCAGTCGTCCTGGCCCCAGGCGCTCCCTGTTACGTTACCCAAGACCAATCTGTTTCAATCCTTCAGCGGTGCCAGCAGCGCCCAGTAGCTGGAGCCTAGACAGCGGAACCAGAGAGGCCCTGCCATTCCTGTCTGCCCACGTTGGGAGCATCTTGGCCCCACCAGTACCTCCCCGAAGCCTGCCCCATGGTAAGGAAATGCCCAGCGGGCCTGCTGCACAGTGCCTGCAGTCATGCACAGATAAGTCAGCACCACCTGAAAGCTGACCTTAGCCTTTTTTTCTCCCCCTGTAAAAACAACCAGAAACAAAACCTAAAGTCTTTCCTGGTCTGCTAGGTTAGCACTGGACAAAGTTTTGAATTTTTTTTCCCTCCCCCCATCCCAAATCTTGCAAATTTTTACAGTCCTTATACAGACTTGTGTCTATTTTGGAACTGGAGTTAGGTGTGTGAGTGCTGAAGCTTGGCCTGACTTCTTGCCAGTGACCACCTTCAGCAGTTCTTTAAGGTTACAAATCTATAAAATGAAACTTCATATGTTCGTTGCTCACGAGCCTGTTGCCTTGCCATGAGATCCTGATAAAAGGGGAGGGGGTGTGTAAATCCATCATTGTACTTCTCGTTAGCATTCTGCGATGTGACAGATGCACTCCGCAGTATCTACCAGAATGGAGTTACCAGGTTTGGAGCTGTTACCTGGCGTGACAGAGTGCAAAACCCCAGCTCTCCCGCTGCAGTGAGGCAGCACAAGCCCATGTTTCTGACCCTTCTCTCGTTCCAGGACACTACTCGCTGCACTTTGATGCCTTCCATCACCAGCTCAGCGATGCTCCTCCGGCACTGCCCGCACGGACGTTGCGCAAGGTAAAAAGGAAGTGGCAGGAGAACAGAGAGGGATGCCGAAGGAAAATAACAGGTTCCAGAAGGAACGCCCCCTCCTCCACTCCCACCAAGCAGCTTTTATATACAGAAACACCATTTGTAACATGCTCGTAACTTACAGAAGAGACAATCCACTGAAAGCTTGTAACCTGCCCTAGAGTGGAATTCTAGAGAAACAAATTCCTGTAGGCGCTTCCCTTCTGCGCGTCACATGCTGTGATTTCAGGCACCCTGACGATCACCTCAACTACGGTTAACCCTTAACAGCTCTACCTGTGCTGAGTGCGCTGTCTGCCCACAAGAGAGACGTCCCTAGGAGTGGGGGGAGTGCACGTGTAAACCAATGCTGGTTGCCGTTCCCAGCACCTGAGCACAGGTGGAACCGTGCTGTGGTTAACATCCCTGTCAAAAGCTGAAGTACAGAACGACACACGATGCAGCGTTGCCTCCTTTGTCACTTTTAACCTGGTTTTGTTTTTCTCCCAACAGTCCCCTCTTCATCCTATCCCTGCGTCGCCCACCAGTCCGCAGTCTGGCCTAGATGGAAGTAACTCCACTTTATCCGGCAGCGCCAGCAGTGGTGTCTCTTCCTTGAGCGAGAGTAACTTTGGACATTCTTCTGAACCACCTCCTCGCACAGACACCATGGATTCTGTCCCCAGCCAGGCCTGGAACACTGACGAAGATCTAGAGACACCCTACCTCCCTGTCAGGTACAGTCTCTCTGAGCCTGATGTCCTAGAGTCGCTCAAATCCCAGCCATGCCGAAGCCACTCTGCTCCATCGGGAGTCATTCCTCAGGACACCATGGACCCTCCTGCTCTACCCCCCAAACCTTACCACTCCCGGCTGCCAAACATGGAGAACGAGGAGGGGCTGATAATTGAAGATGATGACAAACACCGCCCGCTGCATCGTAAAGTGTCGCAGCCGGTGAGCAGCGGAAAGGAAGAGCAGGCCAGGGTAGCGTGGGAGCATGGCATCAGTGAGCAGTAGGACACCTCCTGGTAAGCAGCATGCATCGTCATTCCGGGTCTGACTACAAAGGAGAGAGACGGACTCGGAGAACAGCAAACCGATCTTCTACTGCCGCAAGTTTGTGTCTGGAGCCCACAAAAGGAATTGGGCCAGCATGGGAGGTTGCTGCTTTCCTTTTTAAGTTCTTTTTACGCCTTTCCGTTACGTTTTTTAACTTTCCGTGCAGTGGACAGTTTATTCCTTCTGCAGTTTCTTAACCACATCGTATGGCACACGAGCCATGGAGACGTGCAGAAGCCGAAAAACACGATTTTAAGCGGAGAGGGGGAAAAAAGGGGGAATGTGGCAAGTTGCTTTTGAAACTGCTTTCCTCCCCGTTCTGAGACGCACATGAGTAGAAGCAGTTGCACTAGGGACATACTTCTTAGCTGTACAGAAGTGAAGGCTCATTGCTGAAATCAGGGATTCTATGAACTGTCAGGCTGGAGGGTGCATGAGCTGCAGGCAGTGGAAAGATGGCAATTCTAAGAAGAAATTGGCTCTTTTGAGAGCAGGATTGTACATATCTGTGCAGTGATCTCCCTGCATTGGTTCATAGGTGCTGAGGCAATCTAACCAGTGCTGATGCACTGATTTCCAAGATAGCATTTCCAACAAACTCTGCCTCCTTTGTTTTTTATGTACTGTTTGATTTCTTAACTTTTGCTTTCACTGGCTAAACCCACGTGCTTTCTCATTGGAATCATACGCTAGTCATCTGTGCTACAGGATGAGAGGGGGTTAGTAGCCACTGGAGCTGCAACCTGGTCGTAGGCCTTTCCCGTGCCCAACTCTGGGCAGGCTGTTGACACCAGCATTTCTATTCCAGTTTAAAAAAAGGAAAAAAAAAAAACACACAACCAAATTTTTTCAAGCCACAGCTGGCTGATGAGCCAGCTAGTGAAGAAGAGGTGGCTTAAATGCATCATATCCAATAATCCTTGCCTCAGGGCTGAACATCACAATTCTTATCCACTTCCATCGCCCACGAGCTGAGATTCATTCCCTGTTTATCGCGTAATGCCCTCAGTCCCTCCCAAAAACCCCACGGCAGCGGGTGTGCAGACAGACTCTCCATCTCTCGCAGGAGACAGAGCACACTGAGGTCCAAGAACTGCCCAGTATATAGTGTACGCCCCGGCATCGGGGATCTTAAAGGCAACCTGTAAAGATGAAATGTGTGGTTCCTCTTTTGCTTCTTTAGAATATATAAAGAAGATTTAAGAGCTTCTCTCTTCTGGAAGGTTGATTTCTTTTCTCTTCAGGCAGCGCTAGAGCCTCCCTCCCTGATGGTTTTTTTTTTTAAACTGACCAGCTCCAGAAAGGGTTGAAGAACTTTAATTAAAAAACAAACCAACCAACCAAACCCAAGACAGAGAACTATGCAGAGGTGAAGGCAGTACAAGTCTGTGAACACAAAACAAGCCTTTTAATCCGTATTTGCTTAGTTCAGTACATGGCAAACCCAGAGAAAAAAATCCTGTGGGTATTAGAGCCAAGATCTGTTGTTTGAAAAGAACAGTAAGAAATTTTTTATTCCTATTTTCACGGTTTTTCAAGAAAGTTTCAATTAAGAGAGTATCAAATACTTGATGTTTTAGATAAACAAGCAATGCTCCTTCCCCCTGCCATGCCCACACGCGTTTTAGCCTGCCTTGTAACCCTTTCCACCGGTGGCTGGCAAAGCACACCTCAGAGGGTGGTAACAGACCACCCTCTTCCTTACCACTGAAAGATCTGAAGCACATTCAGGTAAGAGACTGACCTCCGCCATCTGCATGAGTGTCAGAAACAGGAACAGCACTCAACTCTTGCCCTAAGCACTCGGTTTCTCATGCTACAAACAGCATAAAGAAGCAAAAAGGGATATTCCAAGTGTTTTACAGGTCACCTTTAGCACTACCTCTGAATACAGTGACTGGGCAGGCTATGTTGCTTCTGCACTCTCCTGACGATGGTCTGTCTGTGCAAAGTCTGGACTCAGTGGTTGGATGAAGGGGACTTTAAGGGGATTTGTTTCTTTTCTTTCTCAAGCTCTAGCCCATGCAAAACTACTGAGTTATGGATTTGTTTCTTAAATGGCCTGTTTGGCTGGAACAAAGTCTCTCTTGCTTCCTCTATTTTGTTAATAACACAGGCTGCTTGTAATCATTATATCCTTCACAGTTAAGACAATGATGATAAAACCTGGCCTATAGTGGACATTTCATCTCGAGCAGGAAGGAGAGTTTTCCAATACTAGGACAGTCCTAAACGTGAATGAAGCTAGACGGATCTCTGGTATAGAACACATGTATGAAAACTCAACTGAAAATTATGGTTTTGGTAAAGGTAAGTCAAAGCAATTCCTTAGAAACGAGCGCAACCTTTTTACATACGCTATTCTCCAGGCTGACTGGAGGTTCTTCAAATTAAGATTTTTAAAAGAACTAAGTATTCGATTCCATCTCCCCTGCCCCCTTTTCTTTTTTTTGGCAGGAAAATCAGAAGTGGTAAATGTAGTGACTTAGTGAGCTTCCTTATTGCAAAAACCAGCAGGTCTTGCAAATAGAACTTTGCCAAAACAAGGATGCAACTAACCTGGAACTAAGTCCCCGTCAGCTGGAAAACCTGCCCACTGGAGCTCTAATCAGTCTCTCAAAACACAGCACCCTGCTCTGATTAGAGACCCTGTACAAGGCAGTGAGTCCATGCTGGGAGTCTGACACTACGATGTATTTGTAAGAGCTGGAAGGTCAGTCAGATAACGTATACAAATACCCCCAGCTTATGGCAGGGCCACGTAGAGAAGGACGGAGTAAATTGCTGAATTTGCCAAATTTAAGCCTCTCTGGAGTTAAATTTCTGTTACTGTTCTGCTATCTACCAAGTATTCTGTCTCCCTTTCAGTGCTTGCCTTAAAAGGGGGCAGAAGACAGGATGACTTACTAACATTAAGATTTTGTGAATGTTGGAACTAATACTTCTTGGAGCTCATACTCCTCTGTAGGGTGGGGTGTCTTAGAGCATAGTACAGCTCCAGCATCAAGCTCAGTCCTGGAGCTGGTGGAAGCAACAACAGCTGTTGCGCTTGCCCAGGAGGATTTGAAGATTCCTTGTACAAACCACAGCAACAGGATGTTTTGAAGAGGACCTGTCATTCTGTACTTAACTCTAATTCAAACTTAACGCATACTTGCCTTCGTTGGGTTTTCTCTGCGTGACACAACAGCATGTGCGTTCCTGAGAAAATTGCTGGAGTTCTGCTACAAATCTCTCCATTGTCAGGGTACCTGCTGGCCCCACCTGAAACAAAAATTGAGAAGGAACTACAGTAGTACAAGAAAAGCAATTAAAACTATTTCCCTGACTCCTACAATTATTTTTTTCGGTGGTTTGGGTTGGGTTTATTACCGTGTGCGAGACTGAGAGTCTTCTCTGACTTCTTCCTCTATTTGCTTTTTAGCTACTTACCCTTTTTTAGGTAAGGGATATTGCATATCCCTTCTGTGGGAGAATCAGCCAAAACTGGGGAGGCTGGAGAGAGCAAAAGCCTTTGGGAAACAAATTATGTGATATTTAAAATTTCCTCTGATCATGCTTCTTTGTAAATACCCCCATTTGAATGCTGTGTATTTGTACAGGAAATTGAGCAAAAAATGTATAGATTGTGATGTCTGACTGGTATTCTGCCCTGTAAATGTGTTTTTAACCTCTGGCATTCTGTGCTTATTTAAAAAAGGCAAAAACCTCTAACCACTTCTCTTTTGTGTATTCATGTTTAAAATGAAAACAGCTATCTTATCTATAATGGAAATCAGATTTAAAAGGAAAAAAATAATTTGTACAAGTGTCCTAAAGGTACTTCATTGTATATATTGTGATAGCATGTTTCCAGAACCAACAAATAAGTGGTGTGAATTTTAGATGTAAATATCTGCCGTTTGTTTGGGGTTTCTTTCCCTTACCCATTCACTCGACTGCTGTGATGTGGAATTAAAGATTAATACCTGCGATTAAAACGCTACAGCTGTTATGTTAATTGCTGTCCTCAGACAGGGTTATCCTCAGGCTGCTCCGGATGTCGGCGCAGAACGCGGGAACAGCCATTGCTTCCCACTGTTGTGTGAATGAGGAGAATGGGGGGGGCAACCAAAAGGACCCTGTGGCTGCTGTGTGGTGAGGGGACTGCTTCTGCGTGTTCTTGAAGCGTACCCACTGGCTGGTCTGGTCAGGGAGGTTTTACGACGCGCGCAACAGCCCCAGGCACCTGCTTGCCTATCACAAGCTGTAATACACAGTTTTGAGCCAGTATTTTCAAACCCCACCTGAATCAGTGATCGCTTCCTCGGATACGTACCCCACTGCACAGATTGCTATTTGATGAGTGACACCTCATCACTTTTTTTTATTGCAATAGCTAAACATTTTGGCAGTGATATCATTTGTTAATGCTAAGTATTTAAATACTAATCACTTTAAAAAGAGCAGGTGTGAAAGGATGGCAATTAAGAATTGAAGGAACACAGGATTTGGGAATTAAGAGCTAGAGCAACTACCACATGTCAGTCACCTCAAAGATACCTGCTGTTAATGGGTGATAAACCAGGTCAAGGTGCAGGAGACAGCAAAAGTAACCCATTTCTCCCATCCTGTCTTGACAAACCAAAAAAAAAAATTTATGAAACTTGTCCCAGCAGACATCCAGCAGTAAAATATAATAATAAGCTGCCCCTGGGGTGCCCATACTACCAAGCCACCCTTTTCCTTAAGTACATACCACATACAAACATGGAGAAGAAAGAAACTGTAACAAGGTACTTCAAAGTGCATCTAAAATAACAAAATGAGGCTTAGCTGAAGTGTTCACCCGGCACCTGAGAAACACCTGTATAAACCAGACCCTTTGAGCCTGTTCCTAGCTCAACTTGCCAAATCTTAGTTAAGCAAGTATTTTTTTTTTATTCAGCAAAAAAGCTTTTATTAACCAAGTACAGGGTATAAGAAGCATAATGTGTGAATCCCTCAGCTTCCAACGAGAGTTAAGAAATTACCTACCTTCCGTTAAAACCAACAGAACCATTTTTTCAGTGCAAGTCAAATACTTGGTTTAAGCTAAGGCCACACTGGTCAGATTGCAATCTAAACACCCTGCTCAAATACCTCTCCTTAGCTAAATAAGAAAGCTTCAATATATGACACTGCAACACAGCGTGAGTTTTGTTATAAAGCTGGTAAGAGGAGAAATTCCTCTCATACAGTCCTCTAGAAGGGACTATAACCTAGCCAGTAAAGGTTCAGCCCTCTACACCGCTGCATAAATAGGCCTCTATTTGTAGGCTCTTAACAAACCACAGACCCAGAGACACGGTGTTCAGAAGGTTGTATATGCACAC